AGAAGCAAAAGGCGGTCAGTACAAGGGGCCCCATGGAGATCCACAGCTCCCTATTCTTGGCAGGGCCGGACACAGGCATGGGTGAACCGGGCGGCCGCTCAGGGCCCAGACAGAAAGGGGGCTCGAAAATTATTATTATTTTATTTTATTTTCATTATCTTTGGTGAAAGGGGGCCTGATACCAAATGTTCGCCCGGGCCCGCCAGGAGTCTAGGTACGGTGCTGGTTGTTCGCACAGCAAATACTGCAGAGCAGTCCCAGCAGTCAATGGATGTACAAGAAATGCAGATAGCCCTCTGCAGTTTCCATTCACTGCAGATAATGCATTATCCCCACCTTCAAATCCCTCTTCCTTTCCTCTCTAACCCTCGTCCCTCTTGGAGTCTCTCATCTACGCACAAGAGCCGTCTGAGAAAGCTACAGGCCATTACGATGACACAAGGTGAAGCTTCCTTCCCCACTTAATCAATGACAATTTAGGATAGGTTCCTTCACGGCGCAATGCTAATTTATACAAAGTAACACCTAATCAAACTCTGCTTTTATTCTCTGATTGGCGGTGGTTATTAACCAGGCCCTCCAGCCACCGGGAGACATAAAAGATGCATTTGCAGATTTTGAAAATTAAAGCCATCTATACAGCCAGTGGGGAAGATCTGCTTATTTGGTTGCTTAATGAAATATAAAGATTATTTTAACCAATGTAAGCACAATTCGACAGCTTGTGAAACACAGCGGTGGTTTGATGAATGACCTCCTCTGCTTTAAAAAAAAAAAAAAGAAATTGCTGCATGGTGTCTTTTAAATATTTAATTTATTTGTTAGGAAGACGCATTGAGTTAAATGACATCTAAACCAGGGTGCTGTGCAATCTCGGTTAACTCTTGTCGACTAGGTTAAAAAAAAACAACGAATGTAAACCGCCACTGGCCCCCGAATCCCTGGATTGGTGCCGCTGTATGTATTCTGCCAGCTACAAAGAAGTTACATCCGTCATCTGCAGTGCAACATGCCAGACAATTATTGATAAAACTGCAATGTATATCGATAGGATTCATGTTTCCTTAATTATTTTTAAATCTTTTTTTTTTTTTTCTCCAATGAATGTGTTTTCTACCAGCCATTAAGACTTGCAGAGGGAGTGAGGGTGAAAGGCTTTGTGCAAACAAATAGAAATCTTACTCGAGAAATGAAGCAGCAATTAGAAATAAACTGGGCTTGGAGATGGCCCATCTCTCCAATAGGATTGCCGTTCCACTGTGCTCTGAACCTGCTAGTGTGGGGATTTTAAGCCACAAAGGTGTGCACACTGCATCAGAAAAGAAAACCCGATCCACATCACAGTGCTGCAAATTCCCAACCCTGATGGGGGTTGAGGAGGAATGGTCTCAAGCTGCAGCAAGGGAAGTTGAGGTTGGATATTAGGGAAAACTTTCTCACTAGGAGGGTGGTGCAGCTCTGGAGCAGGCTACTCAGGGAGGTGGTGGCAGCTCCATCCTTGGGGGTGTTTAAGACACAGCTGGAAAAAGCCTTGCCTGGGATGATGTAGTTGGGGCTGGTCCTGCTTGGAGCAGGGGGCCGGAGTAGAGCAGCGTTTCTCAACCTATGGGTTGCAACCCAAAAGTGGGTCACATGAATATATGAAAGGGTTGCAAACTTGAAAAATGGATCGACAGACTTGAAAAATGGATTCTCCTTTAAAGGAGAAAAACCATGGCTTTTTTCTTGCAGGCTGGCAGAGCTCGAGCCTGCAAGGGGCTGCTTGGGGGTCCCCCATGCCGCACACCCTGGGGTCCGGGGGTGGGGGCAGCGGGTTGAGAGTGAGGGGCATTGGGTCAGGACTGGCCATTGATGTTCACAAATGGTACATAAAAGGTGAAAAACACTCGACTAAATGTGACCTCCTGGGGTCCCTTCCAACCCGTATTGCCTATGGTTCTTAACCTGGCTTGCATTTGTACAGAAAGACGGGTCTAGATGAGCCACATCCCACAGGGAGGTAAAAACTGTACTGGCTCCATTGACTTCACTGGAGCTACGTTCATCTAAACCAAGAGAAAATCTAGCCTCGGTCTTGATGGCAATGCCTACTCTTGGAAACCGAGCCACTGTTGGCAGCATTGCCAGCAGCTGGGTCTCTTCTTAACTGCGACTGAAAGCAATACAAGGTCTGGACGAGTGCTCTAAAAAAACCCAATTAATGCTTTGAAGCAGCAGAAAGGTCAGGCATAGCTGGGGGTTAGATATACCAGGGGCTCTGGAGTCAGTGTGCCGGAGGTCGGAGCATACTTGTGTACAAGCGTGAAGGCAACTTCAGCGGTGGCCAGTATTTCATTAGAAAAACCAGGAACCAAATGTAGAGGAAAGGGCTGGAAAAGCATCAGAGCTCAAGAGGTTTGTGGCTAGAAAAGAGCTGCCAGCATAGACAGAGCCAGCCTTGCCTTTCTTCCTGGGGTACGTGGGGAAAGGCACCAGAGGCAATGTTCATTTTGACCTGCAAATGAATCGATGAAACCAGCTACCACGAAGCAGATGCTGCATTTTTCAGCCCAACATGCTTCCAGCTCCGGGCCAAACTCTCCAGTATATCCCTGAACCACAAGTGAAACCCCACCAAGGCCAGTTTCACTCCAGGACTGTGCACGACTCGCAGCAACCTGGCGTATATTGGCTGTGGCAGTGGAGATCTTGCCTATGGAGTAGTGGTGTAATTTGCTTAGATTGCTATCCTCTGCCCCTGCCAATATACGCCAGGTTGCTGCCAGTCGTGCACATGCCTGGAGGGGTACGCAGCACATGGACCACTTAAGCTGAGCTACAGGCTTTTCTGTTTGATGCCTGGAAAGTGAGCAGTGTGCGCCAGGGTGCAGGGCTGCGCTGGAGCATTAATTAGCTGCGTGCATATGCTAAGCTAAATTAGGCTTGTGAGCACCCGCTAAAGACGCTTGCTACCGCTCAGCACCAGGAGGTAATTTCCGAAACCATTTTACATTAAAGCCAAGGGAGTGGCTTTCGAGGAAAGCAAAAGACTCTGCACTGTCAAAAAGCATTAGGATTTTTTATTATAATAAAAAAGTTACATATTTTGTACTCGCACTAGACCCTGCATGCCTGAAGTGAGGGTTATTAGAGATTTTCCCAAGAAAAAGGTCTTTGGGACAACTCAAGCAGAAGGACTCTAGTACAGGGGAATCGTTCAGCAAGTTATATGGAGAGAAGGGCCATTTATCCCACGCTTTACGTGCCGACGCCGCAAAGAAATGTTTAGAAGATGGAAACCTGATATTGGGCACTAGACCTTCTGGGTCAGGTTTTCAGAGCTATCTGAATGAGTTTGTGCCACCAGACACACACTGCTTGAGGGATTTTTCCTATACCAAATATAAATGAAAGTCTTCCACCTTTCATGAGCCCCTCTCCAACTTTACTTTGTAAGCGTAGGATAAAACCCCTGTGATTTTTTTTCTTCCAGCTGACAGCTGAACTGGAAAACACCCGTTTTTCATATCAATTCTACCCAAAATGATTTGCTGTTGTTTTCCATCCACCCCATCATCAAAATGAAAGGTTGAGCCAAACTTTGCTTCATTTTTGGATGCTTTACCTTTTGAATTCAGCGGCAAGTTGAAACAAACCATTTCAAAACCCCCAGATAGAAATATTTTAAGGCTACAACATTAAAGCAAAAGCATTCAGGCCTGGGCTTATCAATGGGGTTTTTTTCCACCCACTTTGGCTGAAGTTATTTGCATAATCAATTCAAGCAGTTTTGGTCAATCTGAAATGTATTTCCAGAAAACAAACTATTTGCACGCAGTTTCAGCCAGCCGTAGCTTAAAGCGGCCGGTAGGCTTGGTGTGTGATCCCTGTGCGGAACAAAATTTCTTCTCCCCTAATGATCTCTGAGCACGATCAAGTTACACTAGTCTGTCTATGGAGTGGGATGGGTGTTGTGATATCAATTAGGCTAGCTTTCTTCATCTATAAGACTGAAGACCCGTTTAGGAGTGAATCCAGAGCTGCTGATTATAAAGTCTCTGATAACTCAGATGGAAAGTAGACTTCGTGTAAAGAAGGCGGCATATCAGATTTCCGTGGAGAGATGAGTCCAGGGCACTGCAAAGGCCATTCTCTCGATGAAGACAACCGGGTGGAGGCAACATATATGGGCTTTGTGAGATGGGAAAGAGGGTCTTTCCCATTCCTAGGGCCAAGAGTCAAAGACACTTGATGCAGCCATAAGGGAATTTTCATTGACGTTCCCATAGCATACCATGCCTCCGCTAGCTCACGATGGACAAACCCTAAAGCCCTGTTATTGATGTCAGTGGTTGCTTTCATATCGCATGCGCCCTCCTCCTTGTTGAGATGCTATCCTGGACAGCGGAAAGTCTTCTACATGCAAAAATGAAATCCTGTTAGGAAAGCAGAGGAGATGTGGACGGTTCCCCACCTCCCTCTATGATTAATGGCAGTTAATTTCCCATCACCGTTTCTTTGCAAAATTAGGATTTGGGGTCAAATGTTCCCGTCGGATCCATGCAAAGTCTTGCTGCCGCTAACGGACTAGTGAATGTGCTTCTTCAGTGCACAGAATTGGATTTGGGGTCAAATGTTCCCGTCGGATCCATGCAAAGTCTTGCTACTGCTAACGGACTAGTGAATGTGCCTCTTCAGTGCACAGAATTGGCTCTAGTTGTGTGGTTAAGTATTTGTAAGGCAGCCAGCAAATAATTTTAGCAACTTTATCTTGCCTCTTGTTCTTAAGATAGTTTCTCCACCCTGACTTCACAGGCAGTACGTCCGTCTCGATGTAATGCCTTCTGCCGGAGGTCCTCTATGAACACAGATGCAGGGCAATGTCCCAGCACCCACCTGAGATGGGTAACATTAATGCCGTGGCATGAATGCAATGCTCCCCAGCTCGTCGGCAGGTGGTTGGGATGAATGCGTTTCTAACTGGGCCTTTTCTGCTTGGGGCTTTCCAGGTTGATGTCGCCATGCAGCACTATGGAGTGAATGGGTACTCTCTTCACGCCATGAATTCTCTGAGTGCCATGTACAACCTCCACCAGCAGGCAGCACAGCAAGCCCAGCATGCCCCCGACTACAGACCCTCGGTGCATGCCCTCACCTTGGCAGAGAGACTGGCTGGTAAGAACAACTTATGGATTTTGCCTTTAACGCTGGGAATGGCATGTGCTCACGCCGAGTCGCGCTCTTCGCCCGTGCAGAATCTCAGACCCGTCTGAACAGGGCAGAGCAGCTGCCCTGTGTCTACAGGACAACCCCATCTGAATCAGAGATCTGGGGGTAGGTAACCCCATCTGAACCAGAGAGATCTGGGGGTAGGTAACCCCATCTGAACCAGAGAGATCTGGGGGTAACCCCATCTGAACCAGAGAGATCTGGGGGTAGGTAACCCCATCTGAATCAGAGATCTGGGGGTAGGACCTTCTCTCCTGGGCAAAGAGCTACTATATCCCTCTGCAGACCCACTGAAACCCCAAGGGCGAAATAATTCACCCCAGTGCAAACACAAGGCACAACTTCTACTTAAGTTCATAAAACAGGACTGAAGTGGGTCTTGAGCCATCAATCCAACTTCTTCTCCTACTACCCACCAGGTACTTTATCCATTCAGGGGTTAGACAGGTGTGTGGTCAAGCTCTTCCCATTGGGTTTTCTGCTGTGACCTTTAAAAAGCACTGTGTTGTTCTGGTTAAAAGTCTGCCTTTTTTTCCATCAACAGAAGCATAAAATACTTCTAAAAATATTTATGAAATACCCAATTTATAAGCAGTCAATCCAACCTTCAGGACCCTGGCAGTCTTGAGTGCTGTACTGGCAGCATTTTTGTGCGTGCAATAAAAATACCAACGGCTTTGCAGTTTTTAATATTTTTAGTGCATTTAACTCTCCTCTCCTGTTTTCTTCTAATTCTCCCACGGGATTTTTTGTAAAAGTAAGAGCACTTCAAGGTCTTTATCTGTTGTTACTGACTTATATTCAGGGGAAAAGCTGGGTTTTTCCCCCTAAAATTGAATCTGAAAACACGGCGTCGGATTTCTGTGCAATGTCGACTGATAATCAGAACGACAAAGCAGCAGCTCTGCTGTCATTCGTGCAGGGCTCTTGTCCTAGCTGGAGAGTCTCCTGTTCTCAGTAATGCAGATTTATTCATGATGCCTCTTCTAAACATCTCCCATTTCTTGTCCCATCAAATGCGTCATCTCCCCAAAACACTCTGCTTCCCTGGGAACTTATATTGACCTCAGCTCAGCTGATCCCTCCTGAACATCCGGTACCAGACTTGCTGTCTTGGGCTTGAGGGTAGGAGGCCACGTGTTCATGGCTTTGTAAATCACTTTGTTCATTTAAAATACTGCAGAAAGACATAATTATGACAGCTGAGGAGCAGCAATGTTAGGCAGCCACTGATTAATCTGGCAAGGTGATGCCCAGAGGCATAATCTGACCTTAGCAGGCATGGCAGAGACCCCATGACTTCTTGGGAGCAGAAATATTTTGTACAGCTCCGAGCACAATGAAGGTCCTGACTTGCTTGAGGTCAGTGGGTCTTAACCTGTTTGGACTTGAGGCACCTCTAGTTAGACTCAAGTCCTGCCTTGGAAAATGCCAGCTTTTAGTTTTCACTCTGTTTTTGATTATGGAAAAATAATAGAGCAATGTTTCTGTTGCAGAGAGCTCAGAAAGACCACAGCTGGGCACACTGGTTTTGACACTCTGGATTCCTATTTGAAATCTCTGGGTTTTATCTTGCAAACCATGTGCGCACACCTATCCATGCCGCGACACCCCTGAAAGGGTCTCAAGGCACCCCAGGGTGCGACAGCATCCCGGTTGAGAATCACTGCACTAGAAGCTCCTGTGATGTTAACGGCTAACAGCAATAGCACTGGCGTGATGCAGCGGTAGGGAAGGGGATGAGGTCAGGGGTCTGGGTGGCGAGATATCCCGCTGGAGGGCATGAAATGGTGTTGAGAAGAAAAGGAGGAGTCAAAGTAAGCAGCGATAAGCAACATCCAGGGGACGCATTAAACCGAGGTTGGATGAACAGCAAGAGCTTCATAGAAGCACCCAAATACATTGGACAGGCTGAGAGACGGGATGCTTTGGACAGTTTGAGGGAACTGGGCTGATTTAGTCTGCAGAAGAGAAGACCGAGGGATTGAATAGCAGCCTTCACCTCCCTGCAAAGAGGATGGGGCTGGGCTGGTCTCAGTGGGGGCAGATGACAGGACAAGGAGCGATGGGCTCAAGCTGCAGCAAGGGAAGTTGAGGTTGGATATTAGGAAAAACTCAGGAGGAGGGTATTAAAACATTGGAACAGGTTACCCAGAGAGGTGGTGCAGTCTCCATCCTTGGAGGTTTGAAGACCCAGGTAGACAAAGCCTTGTCTGGGATGATGGAGTTGGGGCTGGTCCTGCTTGGAGCAGGGGGTTGGACTAGATGTGACCTCCCGAGGTCCCTTCCAGCCCTCATTGTCTGTGATTCAACGATTCTCTGGTGCTCAAGAGGGTCTCATTGGGACTGGCCTCCTACAAAGACATGGAAGCCATCAAGGAATGGGGGTCAGGAGGTCCAGCTCAGGTTACTTTCCCTCCTCTGTGCCTCTACATGCATTTAGCAAATACAGCTTTTGGAAACAGGCACTGTCACTTGTGTCAACCCTTGCACGCCAGGAGAATTTTTCACCATTGGCTGCTACTGCTGTATACAAATGAATCCGGGTTTCTCGGGAAGCTTCCCAAGAAAGCAGCAGTTTCCACATGCTATAAGGCAGTGACTCTTGAGCGGAGTGCCACGAGATCCTTTTAAGGGCGCCACTCCATATCAGCACTGTTGAGTGTGCAAACACGTGCATGTGATTCGCAAGATAAACCCAGAGGTTCAAATGGGAATCCACAGTATCACAAATATACCGCCCTGCTGTGATCTTTCCAGCTTCTTGGCAACAGAAAAATTGCTCTGATGTTTTGTGGTAAAAAAAAAGAGTGAAAACTAAGAGCTGGTGTTTTCAAAGGAGGCCTTGAGTCTAACGATGGGGGGAGGCTACACTCACGGCTATGGGATATACATGGCTTTATATTTTTAGCCCTAGCCATAAGCAAAGAGGGAAATGCAAAAAGAGTTGAAAACAGGAAACCAAAAATGCCATTGGCATATTCTGAACGGCCAAGGTTCAGTTCATTTCTTGGCATCTCACCCCTGAATAACTTCAGCTAATTCATCGAACGGGCCTCTCGTGAGACAAACATGCCTTCCACCATCCCGGCCGAGAGGGATCGACATACCTGCAACTTGCTCTGAAAGCGAGTCGGCTTTTACGCGGTTACTTGGTTCACATTTTGTTACCTCTGAATATCTTTCAGTGCAGAGTCATAGATCACATCTGCCTCCCAGGGACAGTTGGAATAAACCGGCGCAAACGCAAAACGACCTTAAGTCAGAAAACAGAGGTTGCAGATTGTAACGGCAAAGCCTCACCTGCAATTTATATTCTCCTCCTTGCGCTGAGCCTGGAAACATAGTTAAAGCATTAAAATAATGGCAGCCCAGATCCTTGTTAACAGCCCGTTCCTCTGGGGAGCCGGCGGGTTTAACTATAAAATGTGCGAAAGGCTCCTGCCTGCAGATAAGATGTTAAATCAAGGTCTTTTCTCCCTCTTTCTGGAGCTACAGCGATACGCCACGGGACTTTGAAAACCACTTAGGGATACACCTTGTTTCTTGCCCGTAGACTTTACTTTCCTTCAAGCACTGTCGAGAGCTGTTTCTGAATGCATGAAGGAGGCTGCCTTTGCCCTACACAAAGTGCCTGCATTACGAATATCTAATTGCTCAAAGCACTTTGATTCCTTGAATACAAAAGTCCCTTATGCAGAACCAAACTGTTTTGTATTCCACTGACGACCTTTAGCCTGCGCAAACCTTTCCCCGATCGCTGAAACCGCGGCGCTCCGGCGAGAGCCTGGAAAGGCACCGAAAAATCGGACCTGGGCTCAAACAGCTGGAAGTTTGGGACAGGAATATTCAAAAGGCACGGGGCTGATTTGCTACGCTTGTTAGCAAAGATATTTGGATCCAAAGCTGCGTGGTTCTCCAACTGGCGTGACAGCAGTGAGGGTTCACGGGACTTGGAACAAAGCTCCGATAAAGAGCAACGATTGCAAAGAACAACCTTAATCTGCCTGTGCAAAATCTGAAGCTGCAGCGTTTGTCCCTAGTAGGGCTATTTCCCTTGGTGTGACCATCTCTGCTCCTATTTGAAATCAGGTTCCAAATTACATTTAAAAAAGTCTAAGGGAGACTAGTGAAGTCAGAATATTTTTATTCGATCTAATTTCCTATCGATTTCCACTTGTTATTCACATTTCTCTTAGCGAATGTGTCTGCTGCAGCTTTCTCCCTGCTATGCATGAGAGCAGTGAGCTTGGCTTCATAATATTTCAAGGTTTAAAATATGAAGAATAATCTGTTTTCACTGATTTCACCCCTCCCCATGGCATCATGAAAATACAGTTCTAGTAAAACCCTTTTATATTGTATTGGGGCTGTACACTATTGGACTTCAACCCAAAGTTGTTGTTCTTTTTCACATCTCCAAGAGCCAAAGGAGCAATTTGTATTCCTAGAGACCTTGAATTAGCTCATCTACCCGGAAGGATAGGCTGGTGCTGAAGCATATAGCATGAGACTTGCATTCGGGTGATTTGGAGACTATTCCTAATTGGGTCATTTACTGAGATTCAAGGAAGAATTTAACCATCTGCTTTGAAATGAATGGGGCTCAAACATACATGTTACATGCTCTGATTTGGAGACTTGAATTGTGTAATAAGCCACATACGAGAGGCCAAACAAGAGGGAAAATGGCCCAATGTCTTGGTAGCCGCGCACCTTAGCAGGGAAGATAAAAAACAAAGACCATAGGCAGCTATGCTTGAGTTCTTGCCCTCTTCCCACTAATCACCAGGGATCCTCATTTTTCTCTGATTTAAAAAAAGTCCCCAATTTTTGGTTAAAAAAAAGTAACCCCAAATCCACATTTTTCCATGATTTAAATGAAACACCACTAATTATCTCTCTCTCTCTATATATATATATATATCTATATCTATATAGATATAGATATCGGTATGTATGTGTGTGTGTGTGTGTGTGTATGTATATATATATATATATGTATGTGTGTGTGTATGTATGTGTGTGTGTGTGTGTATATATATAGATATCGGTATGTGTGTGTGTGTGTGTGTGTGTGTATGTATATATATATATATATGTATGTGTGTGTGTATGTATGTGTGTGTGTGTGTGTATATATATGTGTGTGTGTGTGTGTGTGTGTGTATAAAGTGATGTTTCATTTTGATCGTGGAAAAATGTAGATTTGGGGTTACTTTTTTAACTGAAAATTGAGGATTTTTTAGAATCAGAGGATCCCTGCTAACTACCCTCATGCTGGCTTCTCTGCCTGAAGTCAACATACATGTTGCCACTGACTTCAACAAGCACAAGACTGGCCCCATCATGAGTTTCCCAGCCCCTACGCTTCCACACTCACTTCCCTGGCTTTTTTCTTTTTCTTCCTTTTTATTTTTTTTTTCTGGGCCCTGATGCTAAAAAAAGTATTTCACGTGTGGGCCTCAATACGCAAATTCCAATAATTAAATTGGCCACTTTTCTTGTCTTCCAACGGCTGTACATTTCAAGACATCATTTTGGAGGCCCGCTATGGATCCCAGCATCGTAAACAGAGAAGAAGCCGCACTGCCTTCACTGCCCAGCAGCTGGAAGCCCTGGAGAAAACTTTCCAGAAGACTCACTATCCAGATGTGGTGATGCGGGAGCGACTGGCCATGTGTACTAACCTCCCAGAAGCCAGAGTTCAGGTGCCAAACTTCTGCCTTGTTTGTACTAATGGTAATTTTTTAAAGAGGGATGCAGAGAGATGGCTTGGCTTGGTCTATAACTTTGTCAAGATTCCTCTAATGTGACCAGCGGGGTGGGAAAATGAGGGTAGGAATGCACCGTATGGGCTAACTTAATCAGAGATTCATAAGCTTTCACGATTAAGGAAGCATCTTTTGCAGCAAAAGCTGGCAGTGAAGATGTCAACGTCCACAAAAATCTCCTTATTTATTTTCTTCCAACACCATTTCTGTGGCATTGTCAGAGGAACAGGAATCCAAGCCATTCCAGCTGTTCCCTTCCAATAATATCAGTGGTTATTTCAAACCACATATTCAATCTTCCTCTGGGAAAATACACAGCGTGATGTGCCATGTCTCCAATGGTGGCATTGGTTTTCTCATAAAATGACTCTGAGCAGGTGAACTTCAGTTGTATCAAACGGAGTAAGTTGTTGGGAGAACAATCATGACCATATTGTACCTTTTGGGGGCAATTCATTCCAAATTTTGGGTCGAATGGGGCAGGGTGTTGAAAAACATCTTGGCCCCTAGCAAGCCGATACTTTGAACAAAGGATACGTTGCTATTGGAGACTTCCCTATAGCGTTACAGTAAAAATTTCTAAATTTGGTTCAGTTCCCACCAGTGATAATTTCTTTGATACCATAGTACCCAAATCCAAAGCTCCCCTAAAAATATACAGCTTTATACATACATTTTTCTTTGAACCATCCAGTCACCAGCTACCACATATATAGACACAGCTCCGTATTAGCTAGCTATAGCTAGTTATTTTTAACATTTTCATCTATTCTCTATGTTTCTGGACTATCTTGACAAATTCAGAGTCACTCCAGAGGCTACCTTGATGGAGGAGGTATGGAGGGTATATCCAGTGGTTCTCAACCCATGGCCTGCTGGCTGCCAGTAGCCCAATCACCACACTGTTGCAGCCCATGTGACATCCTGTTAAAACATTTTTTTAATGGATACACAGGAAGTAAGTTGTATGGGTGCAGCCCACATAACACATTAAGAGTTGCAAGCGTGGCTCGGCCCACCATGGCAAATAGGTTGAGAACCATGGATATATAAATCAGTCTTAACCACGTCACATTTTGACGCCTCCCAGTTCTTCAAAGATATTCAGTACACGCTTACTGTATCCTGAGGCTGCCTGACCATCCTAAGACAGCCAACACCTGACCTGGTGTTTTATAATGAAATGCCCTCTGACAAGACACCATCTCACTGTACCATGTTAAAGCATTGGCCCCATGGGCAACTGGTGCCACCTTAGTCGGGGGAGGGGGGGGCATGTGCCCCCCCCATCTAGTCAGCAATCGAGAGGGGAGGTCCCCCCGCAGCCAATCGTACTGACTGGCGCTCCCGCCTGTCCCCCCCAATCCCCACCCATTGCCTAAACGGGGAGCACGGCCTGACAAGAGGTGCACCAACACTCTCAGGGGGTGCACATGCACCCCCACGCACCCCCTATGCGTTGCCACTGATTGGCCCACACAAGACTTAGCTTATCACGGCCTGCACCTCACAGGAACTGCAAGAGGCACAAAGCACTTGAGACCTGGTTTTGTCTGCCACAAGATCCTCCCATTATCACAACCCAGAGGTGCCATCAAAACAGGTGAGGTGAGGGGAATCTCATGCACCAATCTGGGATGTGAACAATGACAACCAATTAAAATGCAAAGTGCATTGGTCTTGTACTATAGTAGGAACTTAGGACCCTGGGCCTTGATTATGGACTTACTTAGTGTTAGGCACTGTCTACCGCCACACGCACACAGACCCAGACACAGGCATGGGCAAACTGGGTGGCCGCCCAGGGCCCGGTGAGAAAGGGGGCTCAAAAATGAAAAAAAAAATTACAATTGCAAAAAGAGTTTTAATATTGCTTATGGATAAGACTGGCAACATTATCAATTGAGAACAAACTATTTAAAGACATTGATACCACAGACGTGATAAAGGCTTTTGCAACAAAAAAATTATTATCTCTGGTGAAGGGGGACCCGATACTAAAAGTTCACCCGGGGTTGCCAGGAGTCTAGGTACATCACCGCACACACACATGCTAGCTTAGCCTTGAACAGCCTAGGATCTGGGGCATCATAGTAGACACTGGAAACTGGATTGGGACTTGAGAGACCTGGTTTCTTTTCTTGGCTCTGCTGCCAACATGCTGGGTGACCACAGTCCAGTCACTTAACCTCTTTGCACATCATATTCCCCTTCTTTAAAAACGGGAATAATAAGGGTGATCTCTTTTGTCATACGTGAAGAGGTATCTGTCCTTTACGAGACTTTGTCCCTATGTAGTTTAGGTACAAATGAATGATATAGACTGTTTTGGGGTGACTAGTACAACAACAGCCCTTTGGCCGATCTGATGCCTGAGATCTATAGCTGTCAGACATCAGGGTTTAATACAGATGCCTGTAAACACTTAAAATTAAAAGGCATCCTTCAGGAAGCAGAAACACGGCTGGGGTTTTTAGAAGTGTCTGAGGGGTTGAGGTGCCCAATCTCTACTAGAGTGCAGTGGGATTTGGGTCCAGAGGGTTTCAAGTGTCTCATTCCCTTGGGTTTCCTTACAACTCCCAGCCTAAGTGACTGTTGATTTGGCCTTGACTGAGTTTCTCACCTGACCCCCTGGTTTTATTTGTGGGTCGCAGGTTTGGTTTAAGAACAGAAGAGCCAAATTCCGGAAGAAGCAGCGCAGCCTGCAGAAGGAGCAGCTGCAGAAGCAGAAGGACTCTGAAGGGAGCCACAGCGAGGGGAAGATGGAAGCCCCCGTGCTGGAAACGCAGACCCCCACCCCGGATGCGGAGAAAGCCCAGAGCCTGCCAAGCGAGGTAAGCACGGAGCTCAACCTGACACTGTCGGAGCAGTCTGCCAGCGAGTCAGCCACCGAGGACCAGACAGACCGCGAGGAGGAGTTTAAGAGCCCCCTGGAAGAGACCAAAGCAGACAAGAGCCCTAGCGTGGACAGCAAGGCATTGAACTGCAAGCGAGCAAGTCCTAAAGCAGGTGAGGGGCAGCGGCACCACGTGGTCTCGGGTGAGGAGGTTGGGAGTCAGGTATTCGCCAGCCCAGGCATACCAATTAGGGCTGATTAGCTATTGGGAATGACCGATACATTCTCCGTCATGGTTTCCCAGCTCTCATGTGGGTGGGGGTGGGAAGCGGGGGCAGTCTGGTTCAAATCATGAGCAGGGATCCTGGTTTTCTCTGATTAAAAAAAAAATCCCCAATTTTTGGTTAAAAAAAGTAACCCCAAATCCACATTTCCCCATGGTTAAAATGAAACATCACTAGATAGATAGATAGATAGATAGATTTGGAAGGCCCTGAATGCTACTATAACATGAGGTCTCACTACAGGAAATGCTTGGGACTGTTTTTGATCCAGGATATATGTCAGTAGGGGAAAATCAGGGTCATTGGAAACACTTGCACAGGCTCATGAAAGAACAATTTTAGGCCCCACCTTTTCCCTCCTTGAGACTCCCTAATCACTTAAATGGGGCATATATTGGTTGTACAGTTGTAGAGCCATAGGTTTGGCTAGTTGGTCTTGTACCCAGACAAGTCCTCTTCACAGGAGGGTTTTTCTTAGAAAGGACTGAGCAGAAGATCCCAAATCAGCGCTATTTAGCACTGCGTTCACACAAATAGTTCATGGACAGGCACCAGCATCTCCTCTCTTACTGGATTGCCTAACACACTTGCAAAACAGGCTCAGCTGAACATTACATACTTCTGTACATAATAATGCCCATTGCATTGTTCTTGCCATCGTTCTGGGAACATCCAACACTACAGAAAAGCAGGCATGTTCTCAAATGTCATTTTAACCTGAATGAACAAGACAGTGCACCTGGGGCTGTCATTCATGGTAGCAGCTAATATCAAAACCCATAAGAGAATCAGGGCTGTGCCCTGAACTCCTCATCAGAATTAAAACCAAGCTCTATCTCCTCAGTGGGTGGGTCTACATGTTCAATTAATGTGCTTTAGGTAAAGTGCATTAAATCTAGTACCTTTTAAATCTAGTACCTCCATTGTGAAGTACTAGAAAAATGCACATTAGCCTATACTAATGCTAAAGAGCCTGTTTTTTTGCTGACACTTTAATGCACATTAAAATAAGCTAATGCGCATTCAAGTGCACATATAGATGCACCCAGTGATACCATATTTCCTTGCATACTACCGCTTCTCTTCCCATTGGCAGTGTGAAGGGAGGGGCAGAGTGCCATGCCTTCAGCATAGCAGCTACATATTTAACCCTTTCACAGCTGCTGCCAATTCAGCAGTGGCTGGGATGGGGTTAAAGCTTGAGCCACTGGCATTTGTGAGGACAAAGTAATATGATGCTGAAGAGCAGACTCTGCCCCTGCTTTGCGCAACAAGACACGTGTCTTTTGGAGGCACATGATATGCGAGATAACATGGTATATTATTAAAACCCAGGTTTGCCAATACCCTTTTTGGCAATGTAGACATCACAAAGGCATCAGCATCCCTGGACAAAAGGAATCAGGACTCGCGGTAGAGGTGATATCTTTTATTAAACCAATTAGATATTTGTAAAAAAAGTTCTTTAAATAACTGAAATTCTTTAAGGAATTTTTTTGCAAAAGTCTAGTTGGTCTAATAAAAGATATCACCTCTACCATGAGTCCTGACTCCTTTTGCCTCTAGACCAATATGACTACAACTGGGATACCTGATCCCTGGGCCAAAGGCTTTTGCGTCTGTGCCACCCCCCGATGCTGGTTAGAGGCACTGTTTTACCAAGGAATGACCGCCCCCCTTTCTCTCGCAGACTCTCCCATCAGTGCCACGGTGACCCCCTCCTCCAGCAGCGGCATGGCGCAGACTCACTCGTACTCCTCCTCGCCCCTGAGTCTCTTCCGCCTGCAGGAGCAGTTCCGTCAGCACATGGCAGCCACCAACAACTTGGTCCATTACTCCTCCTTCGAGATGGGCACCCCGTCGGCCATGCCCTACCTGGGCATGAATGTCAACATGGCGCCTCTCAGCTCCCTGCATTGTCAGTCCTACTACCAGTCGCTCTCCCACGCCCAGCAGGTCTGGTCTTCGCCCATCCTGCAGGCTTCCAGCTCTCTCCCCAGCCTGAACAGTAAAACGACAAGTATCGAGAATCTACGGCTCAGAGCCAAGCAACATGCTGCCTCCCTGGGACTCGACACCTTACCAAACTGACCCCGAACAGGGTGAGGGGGTGCACCGTCAGCCCCCAGAAACAGGCACCGTGCCCCGTTAGTACCGAATGTGTTGCTCTCCTCGCAAAACACGCAGCTTCCCATCTCCGTCTGGATCCAGGTGCTCTCGTGCCGGGACGGCGGGGGGGTGCGCGGGGGAGAGATTTTAGATGAGTTTCTTTGGTAGCACCGCTATGGCATCGGGCATTGCTACTCCTGGCTTTCACTCACGATTTACTAAGGGAGGGA